TTTCCACCCCCACTGACACCCTCCTCCCCACTTCTGTCCCCCTCTGCCCTCACCACACTGTACTCTGTGTCCATTGGTTATGTATATAAGCACATAGGTTCTTTGGTTTATCTCTTCCCTCCCACCCCCACCCACATCCTGCCCCCCTTTCCTCTCAGTGTATTCCCAACTCCCAGGGGCACACGTAGTGTTCGCTAAGACTGCTCAGAGAGGGACGGCTTCCGGCAGGAGTGGGGGCCTTGCACATTCTGCATCAAGGCAAGCATCGATTTGGGGAAGAGATGTCTAGTCTCCCTGTCCAGACTCCATGGTGATTCTCTTGGCATTCTCTCTTCACTTGGTTTGGGAAGGAGGGAATGTCACCTCTCCCACGGGGAGGAGAGGGCACAGTGTTACATCATAAGCACTGGTGTCCTAATTCTGCTGATACTCTCCCTGTCCGTCCCGGCCTGCTTACGTGGCTGGGAAGTGTGAGGGGGAGGTGTCGGTGGGGATGGCACTGTCTGGTTCAACTACTTTTTAGAATGCCCTGAGGGAAGAGCTTGGCCCCAGGTGCTGGCAGCTGTCTTAGAACACGGGGTATATTACACTTCCTGGTTCTCGGTTTTGGACCCAAGTTTTAGGAAAAGTTCTAGTCAATACCCTATTACATAATCAGAACCAAGAGATGGAAAGGGAAACTGAAATTGTTGGTAAGCTATCAAACTACATGGCTGATGAGAAACCTAAAAATCTATCCTAAATTTGAATTAAATAGTTATAAAAATATATGACAAATCCTGGCCAGGTAGCTCAGTTAGTTAGAGCCTTGCTCTGAAACACCAAGCTTGCACATACATCCCTGGTCAGGGCACATACAAGAATCAACCAACGGCCGGGGCAGGTTTGGCTCAGCGGTAGAGTGTTGGCCCGCGTACCAGAGAGTCGCATGTTTGATTCCGGTCAAGGGCATGTACCTCGGTTGTGGTGCACATACCTTGGTTGCAGTTCAGTCCCTGGTCAGGATCATGTGGGAGGCAACCAATTGATGTGTCTCTCTCATGTTGATGTCTGCCTCCCCCCCCCCCCCCCCCGCAACTCTATCTGAAGATAAAAACTGGAAAAAAGTATCCTTGGGTAAGGATTTAAAAAAAAAAAAAAAAAAAGAATCAACCAGTGAATGCATAAATAAGTGGAACAACAAATTGCTGTTTCTCCCTCTCTTCCTCTCTCTCTCTCTCTAAAATCAATAAGTAAAAAATTTAAAAATTATATATGATATATAGTAACAGAAGAAAAGGCAGAGAATAATGGTATGGATTTATGTCTATTGCTTCACAAAGTCCACTTCATGAAACATCGTAGAAAGTAATTGTTCATAAACATCTTAAGGAACTACATGGACATGCTGCTTTCTGCAGTGTTTATGACAACAAAAATTGAAAACAACCTAAATACCCAAAAATAGAAGATTGGTTAAATATATTCTTAGTAAAGTACTCTAAAAATATGTTATAAATAAGGTAGAATATTATCCAGCCAGTAATAAAAGTTTTAGATAGCTATTTACTGACATGAAAAGATATTTTTGATGTGTTATGGATGAAGAAAAGCAGATTGCAAAACAGCGTGCATGGATGGTATCATGTTGTGTGTGTGTGTGTGTAAATTGGTACAAACTCTCTGAACAGCAATTTGGAAGGAGGCATCAAGAGCTTAGCCTACATGGAAAAGTCTGCATGGTTGCTACAAAAATGATATTGAGCCCTGGCCGGTTTGGCTCAGCGGTTAGAGCGTTGGCCTGCGGCCCAGAGCGACCTGAGTTCGGTTTCCACTAAGGGCACGTACCTTGGTTGCAGTTTGTCCCCGGCCCTGGTGGGTCATGCAGCCACTTGATGTGTTCCTTTTGCATCGATGTTTCTCTCTCTCTCTTTCGGAATTCCTCTCTCCCCCTCCTGCTCTATCTGAATGAAAAATGGAAAAATGTCCTTCGGTGAGGGTTAAAAAAAAAAAAATGATATTGAATTATCTCTATATGGTGAGGTCATCATTGATTTGACATTTTTCTTTTTATTTATATTTTCTGATTTTTCTTCAGTAAACACTTATTACTTATAAAATAAAAAAATTAAAATAACTAAAAAATTATGTTTGGGAAGAACAAATGCACATGTGGTTATTTGTTATTTGACCTTGTTATGGAGAAGAATTTTCTAAACTGAAAAGCAATGTAGCAGTGGTCTTCTAGAGCTGGTTTGCATGGATTTGTGAGGGCCAGTTGTTAAATATTCAAGAATTTTGCAAGCAGGTCAGTTGGTAGCTAGAAATCCGCTACAGTGGAAAAATATACACTGCAGATTTCAGCAAGTGCTAGAAATCAGGCCTTCTCTTTTGTAACCTGGTTTACCAGCACACAACTAAATGGCAGTAACAGCAAAGAAAATGTCAACCTGCTTGTTTATATCATAATATATGTATTTATTGGTTCAAAGAATCATGAAATGAAAAGGTGAAAAAACAGCCCTGGTCTATTTGGCTCAGTGGTTAGAGTATTGGTCTGCGGTCCAGAGAGACCCGGGTTCACTTCCTGCTAAGGGCACGTACCTCGGTGGCGGTTTGTCCCCGGCCCTAGTTGGTCGTGTAGGTGGCAACTACTCGATGTGGCCCTTCACATCGATGTTTCTCTCTCTCTCTCTCTCTTCCTCTCTCCCCCTCCCAGTCTATCTGAACAAAATATGGAAAAATGTCCTCGGGTGAGGATAAAAAAAAAAAAAAGAAAGGAAGAAAGAAAGAAAAGGTAAATAAACTGATTACAGCAAAAAACTGTATCCAGTTTGTGACTGGACATCATGCAATACTAGGATGAAGCCAAGGTCAGAGAAATTCTGCCAGCATTTCTTAGCTTTATTTGCCCATTTTTGTTTTGTTATTTTGTTGTTATTTTAAAAGACAAGCATGGAACCCTGGCCGGTTTGGCTCAGCGGTTAGAGTGTCGGCCTGCGGTCCGGAGAGGCCCGGGTTCGGTTCCCGCTAAAGGCATGTACCTCGGTTGCAGTTTGTCCCCGGCCCTGGTTAGGTCGTGTGGGTGGCAACCACTCGATGTGTCCTGTTCACATCGATGTTTCTCTCTCTCTCTCTCTCTCTCTCTCTCTCTCTCTCTCTCCCTCCCACTCTATCTGAACAAAATATCGAAAAATGTCCTCAGGTGAGGATAAAAAAAAAAAAAAGACAAGCATGGAGCCCAGCCAGTGTGGCTCAGTGGTTGAGCATCGACCCATGCACCAAGAGGTCGCTGGTTCGACTTCCAGTCAGGGCACATGCCCAGGCTGTGGGCCTGATCCCCAGTAGGGGCATTTGTGACTCGATTCCCAGTGAGGGGCATGCAAGAAGCATGTTCTCTCTCATCGATGTTTCTATCTTTCTCTACAAATCAATAAAGAAAAAAAATTTAAATAAAATAAAATAAAAGACAAAAGTGGAGCTATCAGATTGAATTCCTTACTTTAGAGATTGTTAGATAGCATGTTTTTCACATGGAAATTTTTTTAAAAATCAGTTTTTGAAGAAAAGTTTAAAAATATCAATGGAAAATAATTTGAGCACCAGACTTCTCTAAAAACCAATTTGTCAAAAAAGACACAATTAGCACCCATTTTACATTAGCACATGAATGGTCTTTCCTCTTTATGAATGAGTTTCAGCAAAACTTTGACCTTGACCCCTGCCTCTTTCCATTCACTGTCACTTTTAACAGTGGAACTGACCAAAAACAAGAAGGAAAGCAAAGCACCTGAGATACACCCAGACCAGCACTCCCACTCCTATGACTACAAAGATAAGCATTTTGACTCAACTAATAATGATCTGGGGATTATTAACACCACCTCCTTCGTTTCAATAGTGAGCTGACTGTAGCAAAACACAGAGTCACAAAGATATGATACTATTTTAATACAGGCTTATCAACGAACCCACAGCCCCTATTCTACATATAAGTAGGAGGAATTAGGTTTATACTTATATGTAGTATAATTTCAGCGGGGTTTAGTAGATGGCACAAAAGAGCTCCACTCCCAGCATTCAGTCTGGTGAGCAGAGAAGCAAATATTTGAGGAAGTACTTGAATTTCCGTCTGGTTGCTAAGGAGGCAGAAAGGCAGATTCTTTGGTAAGTGATATATATATATATATATATATATATATATCCATATCCTATAAAAGAATGGTATAAGCAGTTATTGAACAAAAATCTGTCTCTATGATTAAGTCCTGGGTGTTTTTCTAAGTTGGTTATTTCTTTTTTTTTTTTTTTTTTTTTTTTTTTTTTTTTTTTTATCCTCACCCGAGGACATTTTTCCATTTTTGTACAGACAGAGTGGGAGGGAGAGAGATGAAGAGAGAGAGAGGGAAACATCGATGTGAAAGGGACACATCGAGTGGCTGCCACCCGCACGACCAACCAGGGCCGGGGACAAACTGCAACCGAAGTACGCGCCCTTAGCGGGAACCGAACCCGGGTCTCTCCGGACCGCAGGCGGTCGCTCTAACCGCTGAGCCAAACCGGCCAGGGCTAAGTTGGTTATTTCTGATATGTATGTACTATCGTTTGAATTAGCATTTGTTTTTCAGTTCCTTGTTCTAAGTCAGAGAAAGTGTTTTATTTTTATTTTTATTTTTATTTTTTGAGTTGAGAGATGAGAATTTGGGTGACACACATTTTCTCATGATTCTCTTTTTTCATTTTTGTGAATCGTCACCCAAGGATATTTTTCCATAGATTTTTAAATTTTATTTTATTTTTTTTAGAGAGAGTGGTAGGGAGGAGGGAGGGAGAGAGACACATCAATTGGTTGCCTCCTTCATGACAGGCAACAATGGGGTGGGGGGTCGAGGATCAAACCTGCAACCCAGGTACATGCCTTTGATGGGGAATTGAACCCTCAACCCTTTGGTCCTCAGGCCGACACTGTAACCACTGAGCCAAACCAGTCAGGGCTTTTCATGATTTTTTTACAGAGCTGCAAGCTGTGGAGTTTGGGTGGCATTGCTCTTCAGCCCGTCCTTCTCCGTCCATCTGTTCGTAGTGAGACTGCTGAGGAAAATGGGACATAAGGTGAATTGATCCTGGCGACAGTGCTGCCGTACAACTCTTGTTTTTATGTGTAGGTTTATTTTCGTTTTCTCTGGGCTGTTCCCAGAAGCTATTCTTTTTTGTTTACTCAGACCACTGAAACTGTTCTGGGGTGCTCCTAGTCAGGTGGAATTGTAGGTTTTAAAAATGTTTCCCAGGCTTCACCCAACTTTATCAAAAGCGTTGAAGGTGAAAAAAGCAAAAGTTCACAAAACCACATAGGAAACAAAGCAGCAAAGCTCTTGTGCTGGTTCCGATTTTTTCAACCTCTGGCCTGGCACAGAGAAGACTGACTCAGTATTTGTGAACTGAACTCAGTGGGCTAGATAAGCTGTGTAGTTATCATCTATTAAGACAAGTCAAAGTCCTGATTCGATGCCCCCACAGTCTCCAAACAAAGGCAATTCAAATGTATTGCTGCTTCGTGTCATATACTGGGAGGCTAAACTTACCATAATCGTGGAAATTGACATAGATACATCTTACTTTTATACTTTCAAATTAAAGCATCCTTTTACTAATCAACTTAGCAAATAATCATTCTATTTCGTGGTAAAATAGTTTTGAGGTTCTAATGTATATGAGATTCAGTGTTAGTTACTTTGAGCAAAAAATATTGATTTTCACAAATTTAGCAAGTTTGGTATATAAAATTTAAAGATCCTTTAATTACCTAAAACTGTTTCTCATATATACAGTACTTTGATTTCTTAATCACAGAAATAAAGATGGTTTCACCAACTGAGTACTTCAAATTAATCATGATAATTAAAAGGGCAAAATGGAAGTTGGGCAAATAGAAGATAGTTGAGTCAATTAATTTTGCTACATATAAAGCTAAAGCCATTAAATGCTTGGGGACAGTTTTATACATTTAAATCCTTGTGGTGATTGCTGTTGTTAAGGAAAAGAGGACACCTCTGGTCTCGCTTGTGGTGGGTTCACTATGCACTAAGCCCTCACGTCCATGCATGGGGTCCTGTCTCTGACCCTTATGTCTCTGGTTACTCTCTGTATACCACGCCACCTGACTATATGGTACTGCTTCCTTGAACACTGGAGTTGGCCAGAAGGTAGAAAGATCCCCAGACTTGAATTCAAGCTTAGGAATAAGTAAGGAACCCCATTTGAGCCTTAAGCCCAAACCACTTTGACTTTGGCTTACTTTTACCAGATAGTTCTGTTTTGAGATATTAGGCACTGGCGCAGACAATAATTGAGTATTATTTTGATTTTCATTTAAGCACTTGTCTTTGTGTGAGTATCTCTTTCAGGAAGCCAGCGGGAAGAACTGGGAAATTTCTGGACTTTTAGCCAAATACAACCAATGCCGTAAAAGGCCATGTTTACTTTTAACATGCATTTTAACGTGTGTGTCCCCTTCCTTGCAGAGTCTTCATGAGTGGTGATGGAGGGGGTGGTACTGGGCCCTCTCCTATATTAGGAGAAATCAGGATAACAAAGGATCACTGGGCACCTCTACAAAAAGGTAAATCCAAGCAGTGTTTCCAAAACCAGATACATCTGCACATCTAACTTGGGGAACTTTTGCAATGCAGGGTTGTTTCTGGGACTTGAATTATAGTCATCCTTCAGTATCCATGGGGGATGGTTCCAGGACTCCCTTTGTATACCAAAATCTTTGGATGTTCAAGTCTCGTACATAAAATGGTGTAGTATTTGCATATAATCTAAGCACATCCTCCATATTTAAATAATCTCTAGATTACTTTTAATTCCTAGTACAGTACATATGCTATGTAAATAGTTGTTATATTGTTGAAGGAATAACGACAAGAAGAAAAGTCTATACATGTTCAGTAGAGATGCAACCATCTTAGACTTAAGAACGTAATACACATCAGCAATAATATAACATTAATTTTTTAAGAATATTTTTGATCTGTGGTTTGTTGAATCTGTAGGTGCAGAATCCAGAGATACAGAGGGCCGTTTGTATTTAGGTCTTCTGTGCCCACTGAGGGATGTGAAGGGGATATGTGAAGAGGAATGTGATGTTTTGCTGATAGTAATGGCTTGCTTGTCAAATGCAGTTTAGGAGATTTTGAATAAGATCCTTGCAAGATCTGTGTCGCCATATAGCACCAGCTCAAAGTGTCTCTGTGGGTGATGGGTGTATCCCTAGGGTTCATCCCAACACAAGTCCCTCTGGTCTCATGTGCCATTGGAATGGTGGTAACGAAATAGTTTCTGAGTTACAGTAGGTTGATAACTAGTATAATAAGCATAACCTAGAACAAAACACTTCATAGGGAATAAATATACATTGGATGAATGAATTTAAAAAGGTTTCTGAATAAGAGAGGAGGAAACTTCTCCCATCCTCAAAACCTTTCACTGTTCATTGCACCTGATCACACTCAGGACAGAAGCCCAACTCCTGGCCATGATCTATGACCTTGGCCCTGACTCCTCTCATCCTCGCTCACTCCATGCTGACATTGACCTCTTCACCATGCTTCAGACAGGTCAGCCTCACTTCCATCTCAGGACCTGTCCACTTGCCTTTTCCTTCACCAGAAATGCTTTCCCCCAAGATCTTCCCATAGATTGCCCATTCACTTCATTCTGGTTTGTACCCCAGTGCTATCTCTTCAGAGAAGCCCTCTCTGACTACCTCATCTAAAAAGACCACCTTACGAGGCCAGTGTGGCTCAGTGAACTAAGCATTATCCCACGGACCGAGAAGTCCTGGTTCGATTCCTGGTCAGGGCACATGCCTGGGTCTTGGGCCTGATCACCAATCGTGCAGGAGGCAGCCGATTGATGTTTCTCTCTCACATCAATGTTTCTATCTCTCTCTCCCTTCTCTCTCTCTAAAAAAATAAATGAAAACATATTTAAATAAATAAATAAATAAATAAAAAGACCATCTTCAACCACTGGTATGTATCTGCCATTACCCTTTTTTCCCCACTAGTAAGGCAGTTTTAATTAAATAATTATTTTTCCCTCTTCTCACCCCTCCCCTGCAATCACCACACTGTTGCCCATGGTCATGAGTCCTCTCTCTCTTTTTTTTCCTTTTTGCTCTATCTCGCCACCCACAACACTCCTTTCACACACACCAGAGCTGTCAGCCTGCTCTCTATCTGTGAGTCTGTCTCCATATTACTTGGCAGTACAGTTTGTTCATTAGATTCCACATATGAGTGAAATCATATGGTACTTGTCTTTCTCTGACTGGCTTATTTCACCTAGTATAATGTTCCCCGGGGACATCCATGCTGTTGAAAGGGTATAATTTCTTCCTTTTTACGCCTGCCATTATTCTTGATTAATGACCTTGTTTTATTTTTCTATATAGCACTTATCACTACATGAAATTGCATTTAGTCATTTATTTGTTTACTTTCTGTCTCCCCACTAGAAAATATGCTCCTTGAGAATTAGAATTTTACCTTGTTCAGTGCTTTATCTTCAGTTCTTAAAAGGTGGCCAATAGGTTGCCAATAACAATATTGATTGAATAAATAAATTGATTTTCTGAGAGACCATTTACTATGATCTAATTACCTTTTGAATCAGAACAAAGTTAAGCACTAAACCATGTGTAGATTAAACAAACAAACAGGTAATGTAAAAAGGGTCTGAATTCAACCATATGGGAAGAAAACACTTAAGAAAGCCTTAGGAAAATATATGTCAAAGGTAGAAAGTACACCAATGTGTATACCTAGCTTAAATTCTAAGTGATCTGCAAAGGGTTAGGGTCAGAGGACTCTGTGACTATGTAAAACCATCGGTGTTCGTTTCCTATGGCTGCTGTAACACATTACCTACCATAAACTTGGTGGCTTAAAGAACTAAAATTTATTTTCTCATGGTTCTAGAGACCAGAAGTCTAAAATCAAGGTGTCAGCAGGGCTGTACTCTCTCCAGGGCCTCTTCCAGCTTCTCGTGGCTATCATCATTCCTTGCCTTGTGGCTGTATCACTTCAACTTCTGCCTCTGTCTTTATATGGCCCTTTCTTCTGTGTCTCTGTTCTTCTGTCTCCATCAACTATTCCTCTGCCTTTCTCTTATAAGGACACATCATTAAATTTAAGGAACCCCTGGATAATCCAGGATGATCTTCTCATCTCAAGGTCCTTAATTTTTCTGCAAAGACCATTTTTTCAAAATAAGGTAACATTCACAGCTTCTAGAAATTATGACATGTTTAGGAGGTGGACATATCTATTGGGGGAGGGGGAGTGGCACCCATTCAAGCCATTACACTTTAGAGGTAGTATAATTATGTATCAATATATGTATCTCCCAGGTTTTAGGTTATTTGACTCTAAAGAATGTAGCCTTCATGTTATGAGTCTCTAGTAAAAAAATGTTTAATGTCAGCCATGCCTAATTTAATGCAATCATTCAATGTGGATTTCACCCCCCCAGGCTCTGTATCTGTATCAAGATTATCTGAAGAATAGCAACTATTCTTAGGAATATCTATTGCTACAAAATGACTAAAACTAATTCTACCATCTTCCATTTTGCCATCATCTTCATGTTAATACTTGAGATCAAAATCCAATTATCCGACAAAAGTGAAATTTTAGTTGACAGATCAAAGAGAGGTCTCATTCATGTTCCAAAAGACCTATCCCTGGAAACAACAATCTTAGATATATCACAAAATGATATATCTGAGCTTCGGACTTCTGATATCCTATCACTATCAAAGCTGAGGATTTTGAGAATTTCTCATAATAGAATCCAGTATCTTGACATGAGCGTTTTCAAATTTAACCAGGAATTGGAATACTTGGATCTGTCCCACAATAAGTTGGAGAAGATTTCGTGCCACCCTACTGTGAACCTCAAGCACTTAGACCTCTCATTTAATGCATTTGATGCCCTGCCCATTTGCAAAGAGTTTGGCAACATGTCTCAACTAGAATTTCTGGGTTTGAGTGCCACACAGTTACAAAAATCTAAAGTGCTGTCAATTGCTCATTTGCATATCAATAAGGTTTTACTGGTCTTAGGAGACCTTTACAGGGAAAAAGAAGACCCTGAGAGCCTTCAAGACCTTAACACAGAGAGTTTGCACATTGTTTTCCCCACAGGAAAGGAATTCAACTTTATTTTGGATGTGTCAGTCAGCACTGCAGTAAGTCTGGAACTGTCTAATATCAAATGTGTGCTAGAAGAACATGGATGTTCTTATTTCTTACATGTTCTGTCAAAACTTCAAAAGAATTCAAGGTTATCAAGTCTTACTTTAAACAACATTGAAACAACTTGGAATTCTTTCATTATGATGTTCCAGTTGGTTTGGCATACAAGCATAGAGTATTTCTCAATTTTAAATGTGAAACTACAAGGTCAACTTCAAGTCAGAGATTTTTATTATCCTGACACTTCACTGAAGGCCTTGTCTATATACCAAGTTGTTAGTAACATGTTCAGTTTGTCACAAAGTTACATCTATAAAATCTTTGCAAATATGAAGATCCAGAATTTCACAGTGTCTGGTACACAAATGGTCCACATGGTTTGCCCATCCCAAATGAGCCCATTTCTCCATTTGGATTTTTCCAATAATCTCTTAACAGACATGGTGTTTAACAATTGTGAAACCTTGACTAGGTTAGAGACACTTAGTTTACAAAAGAATGAACTAAAAAAACTAGCAAATATTGTTCATATGACCAAGGAGATGAAGTCTCTAAAACAATTAGATATTAGCCAGAATTCTCTAAGCTATGATGAAAATGAAGGATATTGCTCTTGGACTATAAGTTTATTAACTTTAAATATGTCTTCAAATATACTCACTGACTCTGTTTTCAGATGTCTGCCTCCCAGGGTCAAGGTTCTTGATCTTCACAATAATAGAATAACCACTATCCCTGAAAATGTCACCAGTCTGGAAGCTTTACAAGAACTCAATGTTGCTTCCAATTCTTTAGCCCACCTTCCTGGATGTGGTACCTTTAGCAGCCTCTCTGTACTGATCATTGACTATAATTCAATTTCCAACCCATCGGCTCATTTCTTCCAGAGCTGCCAGAAGATTAGGTCCATAAATGCAGGGAATAATCCATTCCAATGTACATGTGAGCTAAGAGAATTTATCCAAAGTATAGGCCAAGTATCAAGCGAAGTGGTAGAGGGTTGGCCTGACTCTTATAAGTGTGATTATCCAGGAAGCTATAAGGGAACCCTACTAAAGGACTTTCATGTGTCTCCATTATCGTGCAACACAGCTCTGCTGATTGTCACCATTGGGATCACTGGGCTGCTGCTGGCTATTGCTGTGACTGTCCTCTGTATCTATTTTGATCTTCCCTGGTATCTCAGGATGATGTGTCAGTGGACCCAGACCCGGCATAGGGCCAGGAACATATCTTTAGACAAACTCCAAAGAACTCTTCAGTTCCACGCCTTTATTTCATATAGTGGACACGATTCTGGCTGGGTGAGGAATGAATTACTACCAAACCTAGAAAAAGAAGGTATACGGATATGTCT